TGAGTGAGGGGAGAAAGAAACATGATTTATTGGCCCAGGAAATTTTATATGTGAACGTCTTTACATCCAGGGACATATACACTGAGGAGATAAAAGACACCTTTCTGTTCATTACCCTAGCACTAATACTCTATTAGTGCAGGGGAGGCTTTGTCCTAGGTAAACAACCAAGTTTGACCTGGGATGGTCCCATATGCTGCCCATTCTGGGAAAGCTGTGACTTTTGGGTGTTAGTTCAGCCATGGATGGCTTTCTACATCCTCTTTTGGTAGAACGAACCAGGAAGCAATGGAAGATTAATAGCTAGACAGACAACACCAACACAGACTGAAGCCCTGTTTTTTTTTTTTTCCAAAGTAAACCATATATTTACCAATGATTTCTGACACAAAATGTGGAAAGCATGGAGCCAGTGTCCTTTGACTTGGCAGGCACTGCGGCCACAGGAGAAACAGAAATCCCCGAGATTTACTGTGCCCAGACACAGCAGGGTCCGACAGAAACTTTGACAACTTAATTGTGTTCCTGTTCAGTCACCCACAGCTAATGCATCTTCCTGGCAAAGCAGGTGTCTTCCATAAGGAGCACCATGGGGCAGATTGTTATCATAAGAGCCTGCCAAAGTCTGCTCTAAATTGTCCCTGGACCAGTTATAATAAACCAAATAGCTACAAATAGACACCAATTTGCAGAAACATGAGCTGTACAAAGTATGCATTCTGCTTGGGGATGAAAGGAGAATGTGTGGCAAATGTCACACATTCAGGCTGTCACGTGGGGCATCAGTGGACAGAACTCTGAAAGAGCGAACTACTCCATCCTTTGTGTCCTCTGGGGTTTTTCTGTGTCCTGCCCCAATACATGTGTACTTTTATTCCAGATGACGTCAATCTTGGGAATCCTTGGGCTCTAGAGAGACAAAACATTCAAGTTACAGTATGAATAGGGTGAAGGGATAGGTTGCAGTGTGATGTTTTTCTTGTCTTGCATCAGGAATATATAGAGTGAACTGAAACTAAAGATCTCCTTGAAAGTTGTGGATCTGGCCAACATCATTCAGTGTCTCTCTGTTTAGTCCACTCCTTACTCAGAACTGAGAATCTATTCTGGGTTTTGGGGATAAAAAAAGAGTAAATGATTTCTAGCATCATTTATCTAGATGCTAGAAATTTAGCAATCTAGGTGTGAGTACACTCTACTACCTCACCAGCAATTCACCAACAATGCATGCCATGCAACTTGTCACTCTAATGGGCACATTCTGAAGGTCAAAATGGGAGAGGAGGAATTAATGCTTTATTTTCATTCCACCATCAGTTAATATGCTTTCATGCCTTCCTTAAAAAAAGCGAAGACAATTGTTTTATTAAAAATGTGTTTATGAAATTTAGAAAGAAAACAAAACAGAGAAGAAATATTGCTCACAATCATACAATGCAAAGACAAGCAGTAACATTTCAGGAAACTCCCTTTCATGTTCTTTGATCTACTTGTTGCTAATTAACTTTTACTCATATCTGATTTTATATTATGTGTTATTACTATATATTTTAATTAAATTTTTATTTTTAAATATTAGTTACAGTTTATTAAGTTTGTATCCCAGCTGTATCCTGCTCCCTCTTTCCCTCTCAATGCCACCCTCCCTCATCTTCTTCCTACCCTTTTCCAAGTCCACTGATAGGGGAGGACCTCCTCCCCTTTCATCTGACCCTAGATTATCAGGTATCTTCAGGACTGGCTGCAAAGTCGTCCTCTGTGGCCTAGCAGGGCTGCTCCTCCCTTGGGTGGGGAGGGGTCAAAGAGCCAGCCATTGAGTTCATGTCAGAAATAGTCCCTGTTCCCCTTACTACGGTACCCACTTGGATACTGAGCTGCCATGGGCTACATCCAAGCAGAGGTTCTAGGTTATATCCATACATGGACCTTGGTTGGAGATATAGTCTCACAAAACCCCCCTGTGCCCAGATATATTTGGTCCTTGTGGAGCTCCTGTCCTTTCCAGGTCATACTAACTCCCCTTTCTTTCATATGATTCCCTGTACTCTGCCCAATGTTTGGTAATGAGTTTCAGTATCTGCTTTGATACACTGTTGGGTAGAGACTTTTAGAGGCTCCTGTCGTAGGCTCCTGTCCTTTTACTTGTTTTTTCCTACTTCCAATATCCATCCCATTTGAATTTCTAAGTAAAGGTTGATCATCTTACCCAGGGTCGTCTTTCTTGTTTATTTTCTTCAGGTGAACAGATTTCAGTATGTTTATCCTATCTTATAGGTCTAGTACCCACTTATAAGTAAGTATATACCATGTGTGTCTTATTAATATGTCTTTATAAATCACTTTAGTGAATACAAAATATTGCAACAGATGGGGATAATATAAGCTATTTAGCAATTGCTGAGCACTTAGTTTTAAATATTAATTTTCACAAATAATTTAGAATGCAATGAATACCTGAAGATAAATATTTTTCTGGATTTAGAAATATTTCCTGAGGATGCAGTTTTTAAAAAGTACAATTACTGCCTCATAATAAATTAAGTACACCCAGTATTCTTTATTTTTTGTGTCTTTTTCAGAATTGTATGTACTTAAACTGTATACCATGATGCTCAATTCTTGTAGCTAATCTGCCTTTCTGTGTACACTCTGTGACATCACCAGTATCCAATACCAATTAGTCAACTCTAGTCTGCTCATTAGGTCTCTGGAGTTATTTGTCCTACAATACAACTCTGTATACTTTCACTTAATATTTTTTAACTGTCAACTTCCAATTTATTTAAATAAGTTTTATTACTCACTTCATTTACTATAATAGGAGATCAAACAGTATCTCTGGGCCCACGTAGTGAAAGTTAACTGGAAGATTTCTTTCTTTCTTTTTTTTTTTTTTCTTTTCTTGTCAAAGAAATCAGAAAACTTTCTTTTAAACTTTCCATTGGTTCTCTGTGAATTTCACACCATGCGCCTCATTCTTATTTTCCCCTCCCCTCGTACCAGTCTTCCACCCTTGCAACCTCTCTCCAATCAGAGAAAAAAAAGTCTTGTTGTGGAAGCTGTAGTGAGTCACAGTACGTCTGACCGTACACCCCTCTGTCCACACTTTTTTGCTTGCAAATGTTCATTGCAATGACTCCTTGGTCTAGTATGAGGCCTCTGGCTTTTGCTATTCTTTTTTTTTTTTTTAAATCTTTTATTTATTTTTTATTAATTACACTTTATTCATTTTGTATCCCCCCATAAGCCCCTCCCTCCTCCCCTGCCGATCCCACCCTCCCTCCCCTTTCTGCATGCATGCCACTCCCCAAGTCCACTGATAGGGGAGGCCTTCCTCTCCTTCTTTCTGATCTTAGTCCATCAGTTCTCATCAAAACTGGCTTCATTGTCCTCTACTGTGGCCTGGTAAGGCTGCTCCCCCCTCAGGGGGAAGTGATCAACGAGCAGGCCAATCAGATTATGTCAGAGGCAGTCCCTCTTCCTATTACTATGTAACCCACTTGGACACTGAACTGCCATGGGCTACACCTGTGCAGGGGTTCCAGGTCATCTCCACAAATAGTCCTTGGTTGGAGTATGAGTCTCTGGGAAGTTCCCTGTGTTCAAATTATCTTGTTCTGTTGCTCTGCTTGTGGAGTTCCCGTTCCCTCCAGCTCTTACTATTTCCCACTTCTTACATAAAATTCCATTCACTCTGCCCATCAGTTGGCCATCAGGCTCAGCATCTGCTTTGACAGTCTATACTGCAGAAGCTTTCAGAGGCTGGAAACAACCCAGATGCCCCTCAACTGAAGAATGGATGCAGAAACTGTGGTACATCTATACAATGGAGTATTACTCAGCAATGAAAAATAAGGAAATCATGAAATTTGCAGGTAAATGGTGGGACCTGGAAAGGATCATCCTGAGTGAGTTGACCCAGAAGCAAAAAGACACTCACGGTATATACTCACTCATATAAACATACAATATAGAATAAACCCACTAAAAGCTGTACATCTAAACAAACTAAGCAAAAGAGAGGACCCTAACTAAAATGTTCAATCCCCATCCTGAAAGGTAAAGTGGATGGACATCAGAAGAAAACGAAAATAGGAAACAACCTCGGAACCCGCTACAGAGGGCCTCTGAAAGCCAGAAGAAAACAGGAAACAACCTTGAAACCTGCCACAGAAGGCCTCTGAAGGCTTTTGCTATTCTATCAATACTTGAATCTCACTGGGACTTCTCCCGTATATCCAGTTGTTGCCCTGTGTCATGGAGATCCTGAAGTTTTGGTTCTGTAGGACTGGCTGTTTCATGCACTCCAGTAGTTTGTCCATAGGTTAGATCTTGGGGTGGGCCAATTTAAAGGCAGTGATCTGGGTCTGAGAGGCCTTCAAGCTGGTCAGCCTGCCAGTTTTTCTGCTCTCCTGCCCTAAGGGCTGGTTCAGTAACAACTCCCACCTCCAGGGCCAGCTCTGCGATGCTGCTGAGGTGAGGTGAAGAGCCTGTTCTTCTGAGAGCTGTAGTAGGTGTGAGGCAGGGACAGCTCTCCCACAGTGGTGACCTCAGAGCCAACTCTCCTGCCTGCTGTTGGTGCCATGGGGAGAGAGCGGGTCATCTCTCCCTCACCCATGTCATTGTGGCGCAGACAAGTTGCCAGGTCAGTTCACCCATGCTCACACACCCCCATGATCCTCAGGGTCAGCTCATACCCACCTCTGCAATCACAATCAACTGGACTGTGCTGCCCAACTGAGGCAGGAGGCTCACTCTCCTGAATGCTGCAGCTGGTAAGGCCAGGGACACCGTTCCTGCTTTCATGAGCCCAGTGCCGGGTTCTTGCCCAGCAGGCTTGAGTTGCCCCTTGCAAGGGTTTGTCTTTGGTTCACATCTGCCCTCCGGCAGTGGTCCCAGGTGGGGTTTTCTAGTCTCTGGCTGGCTCCCCACACTGGGAGCCCATCCATGTCTGTATGGTACCAGATAGGTGGTAGTCTTGGGCTCGCTTTTTTTCAGGGAGTGTTAGGCTACTAATCATCTAGATGTTCACAAGTCCTAACTCTGATAGATCTAGCCTCTCTCCTCTCTGCCGCCTACTGACGCACAGGCGACACAGCAGCCATACCTGCAATGCCTCTAGGAGCCTCTCTTAAAATTCTTCGTGTAACAAAAAGAGTGAGCGTTTATTTGTGTCTATGCGTGTGTATCTAAAATGTTTTGTGAAAGTGAAATATAAATAAACGAAATTTCCTAACTTTTGTATATTATACTAAATGATCATAACCACAACCACAACAGCCTTTACTAATTGTATGCTATTTGATTTTCACGTTGGCAAATGTGTGAACTATTTACTGGCATATTTCAGATTCATCTAATTGGAACGTGGGTTTGTCTGTGATACATCTTCTTTGTTAATGATTGATGCGGGAGGGCCTAGATCGTGGTGGGCAGTGTCATTCATGGGCAGGTGGTCTCAGGTTATCCAAAAGTAGGCTGAGCAAGCCATTGTAAATCAAGCCAGTAAGCAGTGATCCTCCATGGCTTCTGCTTCAGTTCCAGCCTTGCCTTCCATTGGTGATGGAGTATGGAGTACTTCCTGGAAGCCTAAATAAAATCTCCAAGTTGCTTTTGTTCAATTTTTTTTTTTAAATAGTAGTGACAGAGAAGCAAACTTTAAAAAAACTATAAAGCGAATATATAAGAAACTAGAGTAATATCTTTGGTAATTTAAGTTCTTGGGTTCTAAGGAAAGTCCTTTAAAATAGGGATAAACAATGTGTCTGTTTCCATAGTATCTATACCTAAGTAATTATATGTAAATACATGTTTAATTTTATTGTAATTATAGGCTGATACATGCATAGTATAGTCAAATTACTTTAATAAATTATATATTTATAAGCATTTACTTATCTTATAAGTACAGGTATTATATATAACATATACAAATATATGCATATATGCATACATACATACACATAAGCATACATATAGATAGATAGATAGATAGATAGATAGATAGATAGATAGATAGATAAAGAGAGAGAGAGAGAGAGAGAGAGAGAGAGAAAGGATGGGAGAGCAGCCCACCTTTTTGTCTCCTTTTCCTCAGGCACAATAAACATTTCATTTTCTATTAAATGATGCTATTTCAGTACCTGAGAATTCATCAAAGAGCTCTTAGGAGCTTCTCCTGAGTTAAGCCCCTACCACAACCACAGAATCAAGAGTATGAGGCCTGATACACCATGTACTGTATGCTGTGTGACTGTTCCCATGTTTTCTTGTTTGATCCCATTTAGTTGATTGACATTGTCTTCAGTGTAAAGGCGAACTGACTGATCTCCTGAGGTTAAAGAAATCACTCACATTGCAGAATGAGTAAACGATGAAGTCTTAGGGGTCATTCTCAATGTAAAGAAATGATGAGTAATTTTGTGGTTTCATTCCTATGTATTCTTGCTTGGAAATTTAGAAGACCTGGCAGTAAGAGCTTCACTAATTGAGTGGGGCTGATTCCTGTGTAGCACGGGGCCTGCAAGGCTGGCATTTAATTTAATAGATTATTCTATCAGTGCCCACTAGGGTTGGTGTGACCCATGCATGGCTAAAGCTTAGAGATGGGTATTAATTATCTCACAGCGAGCCCCAAAATAAAATATTGAGGGTTCCATGCAGTTGTAAAATTTCTTCTAAATGTCTAGTATTTTTAAAAATGTAATTGTACTGATAGGACTTTCTTAAATCATAGAGAAAACACTGGGAACACCATACAATAAATACACTTCTCAGGCGCCATGACAGTATTTCTATGGTGCCTCTCAAGCTCTCAGAGCCAGTGGCAGATAAGAACAGATGCATCTCAGGGAGCTAGGAGTTCTTCATGTACTGGTGTGGGGCTCACCATTCAAATGGCGAAGCTCTAGAAAGAGGCGTGGAGCGCAGTGTCTACGCTGGGAAATGACAGCTTGGGTTTCAGGAATGAGACCCATGTAAACTGTGCTACAACCCTGCTGAATGGACATTTCCACATGAAATTTAGGAGCTATGCTTCTGAATACTGTATGTTCCATTGTGTATAAACTTAATTTTTGTCTATGAGTGTTCATATGACAGTTTTTTAACCAATAATTCAGCCTAACTAATATTTCCAAATGCACTTGGAAATTTTTTACAAGAAATATGTGGATTCTAAGTTCAAAAAATAATCAACAGTCAATCAAAGGCTAGAATATGCTGTTTCAGGCCAAACCCTACCGTAGATGTTTATGAGAAAATTTTATAGCCTCAAGCATGTACAGTTTTAAAAGTGGAGAGAAGACTAAAATCATTATGAATCTTAACATTACAAATAGAAGCAAACTGCATCATGATGAAATGGAACTAAACATTAAGACACCACAGAAATGGGGTTGGGGATGTAACTCAATGTTAGAGTGCTTGCCTAATGTGTTTAAGACCTGCGATTTGATGGCCGATACAGAAAACAAAATTAAGACATGAAGAAAGTCACAGAACAGAACAAGAAATAAATAAGTTGTCTGAAGCACAGATTGCAGAAGAGGACCACTGTGCTGTTGAGTCAGCCTTGAACATTCCCAGAGTACTCTGCCTTGATCTTGCTTCCTGGAGTGTGAAGGACTCACATTGATCAGACACATGCTCCATTTCTTAACAGATACATTGCAAGTAGAAATTTAGTTTGCTTTTGTGATAGTAGCAAACCATATATGAGGGCTTGAATAATGGGGTTGTATTATAATCTCAAAACCTTATCAGGCCATGAAGATAGACATGAATTAGTGTGGTTAGCCTAAGTTTGAGTTAGTTAACTTGAAATCAGATTTCTGGAAAATGTTGAGTTTGATTCAATTCTTTATCTGTCTTATGTGTGTTCCCTACCCCCGTCACGTAATGGTGCAGCAGCAGGACCTTGCCATTTTAGTTCCTTTCCTCACACTTGTAGTGCACCAGACTTAAAAATTGTGAGCCAAATAATTGTACATTGTTTATAGGTTTCCCATCCTTAGTGTGTTGTTACAGCTCCAGAGAACTCACCAAGACACAGGGCTCCCATGAATGCCTCAGTCTGTCAGTATGGTCACTCGATCATGATGTTAGTGGTATTGCTTACAGCTCCTATTCTTACTGAGTCAACAACCCTGCTGCATTAATTCCTCTGTCCTTATACTATCTCCACAGGCAGCTATGTTTTCTGTGTCAGTAGACAAAGGGACATAGTTACGTTCCATTTAGGGAATAACTGTTGAGTGACTTCTTTGTAAGTCTTCTCAATGCTGAAGACACACTACTGAAAAACAGCAACTGACTAATCTCCCTGCTTTCACGAATTTTCATTCTAGAAGCAGCTGTTCAAAGTTACATGAAGTAAAACGTTGAGCCTTGCCCATTCTCTCCATTATTTTTAATTTGCCTCCATTAAAAGTGGTGGCACCAGAAGAGACAGTTTTCAGCATTAGCATACACTGAGCACATGACTCCACAGCCTCCATATACAGCCGTTTCCTTCAAAAGGTGGTTTAGTAAAGGATTCAGCACGATGTCTGGTGCATAAAAGAGCGTTGTAAACACTAGCTCGTTATGACAATGTTCATTTTCTTGTCCTCCACTCTTCACCTCTTTTGCCTCCTCATCTCTTCTACACTGAAGGCTTAGCAGTTTTGCATACTGCAGAATTTGATGCGAGTAAGATGTTTGGCCCTTGTCCTTGACTTTGAATTCCACACAGTTACTTCAAAATCTTCAGAGCACCACACCCGATAGGGGCTGCCTGTTCTTCTGGGCATGTTAAGTGTGATACTGAGTTAGGGTGGGGAATGATTATATCTGACAGCCCTAGAGTCCGGAAATAACCATATAGGGTGGGGGCTCTGACAACCAACTTATAGAGGTGCTGGAGACTATAGAGGTCAACTATACAGATAATGATGTCATCATTTCCACATGATTATTCCTCAAGAAAAACTCAGGTGAGCTTCCTTGGTAGATTATTCTGTCTGTCTGCCTCTCTCATTCTCTCTCCCCTTTTTTTCTCAGCTGTATTTATATATCATGTATATTTATGTATGTTGTGTGCATTCTTATTTACATGTAATTGTGGTGAAAGAGGCAGTGTCCTGGCTCCTCATTGATAGGCAGTTGGAAGCTCTATGCCTCACATACCCCCTGGAAGCTCTCCTGTGCGCTACATTGCTTAGCCTGTTCAGTCTATCTTTTCTTCTTGTTAAACACTAATCTTGGATATAAGAGCTCCAAGGGATTTTTTTTTTTCAGTCTTGATACATACCTAATCCTAACAGTCATTTTTGAGAACCCTTCTGTATTGGTTCATTTTTTTGTTATTCTTGTTGTTGTTTTCAAATACCCGAGAAGAAGCAGCCTAAATAATGAAGGGTTTATCTGAGCTCATGGTTTTATGGCTGAAAAGCATGGTGCCTTGTGTTCCAGCCTTTCTGTAGGAACCTGCAGTGGCTCACTTCTCAGCAATAGATGGGAAGTAGAAACTCAGGTAGCGGTGGGGGAAGGGAGTAGGCCATCAACCATAATCCAACCCTACTCACACTTTCTCCAGCTGTTATTTACTTCCTGGAGATTTCACAACCTCTGCAAACTGCCACCCACTGGGGAAGAACTATTCAAACACATTAGTATGTGGGTGACATTTCTCAGTCAAACTGTTAACGTGTGCCAGCTTGTGAACAATGTCAGAAGGGAGAGCAGTATTTTAGACTGTGTCATCCCACCTCCCAATTTTTCAGTTGTCCATCTTCACCACTCCCAAACCTTTCCAGATCTCAATCCAGAAGATGTTAGTATGGAAAGGACCATTCATAATATCTAGAAGATGCCTATAAAACTCAAATATAGGAGGGAAAATATGAAGCAAGTTTGAAATAATAAAATGTTCTACATTCAAGCAGAAGCTAACAACCGATGATATGAAAAACTCCAGCAATGGTGCTCGCTTCGGCAGCACATATACTAAAATTGGAACAATACAGAGAAGATTAGCATGGCCCCTGCGCAAGGATGACACGCAAATTCGTGAAGCGTTCCATATTTTTAAGCCATAGTCACCTTGATACCTAAACCACACAAAGATCCAACAAAAAAAGAGAACTTC